AAATTCTTATGTGCATCAAGAAGCTCTGGTGGTATAGTGCCTAAGGCATTTGAATGCTAACCAGAAGGCTGGTGGTCCAAACCCATATATATAAATATGGAAGTTGTTATGTTGGTCAATGTCTTGTTGTGTATGTTTTCACCGTAACAAAAGTGAAAAAAAAAAAAAAATACAAAGGAGGAATTCCTCTCCTTTGTAACCAGAGGACTACTGGTATTTCAAAATATTAATAAGTCTCACTGTAATGTATGTGTATTTTATTAGCAACCATACAATTATCGTTTGGCATTTTAACTCATTTGGTAATTATTTTATATATTTATGAAAAGTTTAAAATACTAAAATGTTTATAAATGTATTTCACAAATATTTTTTGAGTTCTTACTAAGTACAGGGTACCTGTTGAGCATTCAACCACATCCAATAGAATGCAGAAATTATCAAACAACATCATTAAAATCACATACAAAATAATTCAATAATGGTTGTAGCATTATATTGACTGAGAATAGTCAGAAGTTCAAGCCAGAATCAGAAGAAGACATGGAATGAAAGCTACAATTGCTGATACCAAGATGGATCTTGGCTGAAAATGAAGAATACCAGAAAGATGTTTACTTGTGTTTTACTGAGTATGCAAAGGCATTCATTCGACTGTGCAGATTTGTGGTGGTTAAGTTTGTGTGTCAAACTGGCTGGGCCTGGTTGAGTGCCTGGGCAGCTGAATGTAGTTATTCCCCATGGTAAGATTGACAATTAACTGCATAGTGGAATCTATTGGAGCAGATGAGTAGCTGCTTTGGTTACGTGGTCTGCTTCCCATATATAAGCAGCAGCTTTGGGAATGGTCTCTAGTTTATGGCACGCTTGAACCCTGCATGTATCTGTGTCATTGTTCAGTAGCCTGCCATGCTCTGTCAATCTTGGGACTTTCAAAGGACTTAAATTAATGGCTTTCCATGTGATTTGGTAACATTAGGACTGTGCCTTTTCACTTGTCAGCCTTGGGTTTGTCAGTCTCAGCAGCCAGCAGCTGTTTGATTGAAGAAAACCCTTTAGCTCTAGTTGGCCAGGAGCAGGAGGCAGAGCTGAAGCCAGAGTTTATGGGCTTTCACCCAACCCCTATTGCCTGGCACTTTGAACTCGGACTTGAAGCCTCCAAACTGTGAGAGAATAAACTCCTGTTTGTTAAGGCCATCCCATTTGTGGTATATTCCTGTCAGAGCAGCACTAGATAACCAAAACAGGATCATAACAAAAGATGGATAACATTACAAACTATAGGAATTCCAGAACATGAAATTGTGCTCATGAGGAATTTGTACATAGACCAAGAGACAGTCATTTGAACAGAACAAAGGGATACTGCATGGTTTAAAATCAGGAAAGGTATGCGATAGGGTTGTATTCAATCTGAATGCTCAGTAAGTAATTCAAGAAGCTGAACTATAGCATGTGGCATCAGAATTGAAGGAAGACTCATTAACAACCTGTGATATGCAGATGACACAATCTTTCTTACTGAAAGTGAAGACTTGAACCACTTACTGATAAAGCTGGAAGTCTACAGCCTTCAGTATGGATTACATCTCAAAATAAAGAAAACAAAACTCCTCACAACTGGACCAATAAGCAACATCACAATAAATGGAGAAAAGATTGAAGCTTTCCAAGATTTCATTTTACTTGGACTCACAATCAACACCCATGAAAGCAGCAGTCAAGAAATAAAATGACATATTGTATTGGTAAAATCTGCTGCAAAAGACCTCTTTAAAATGTTAAAGAGCAAAGATGTCACTTTGAAGAGTAAGATATGCCTACCTCCCAAAAAAAAACCCCACAAAACTCACTGCCGTTGAGTAGGATCTGACTCATAGTGACTCCTCCTTGGGTTTCTGAGGTGGTATCACTAAGGAAGTAGATTGCCTAATCTTACTTCTGAGGAGAGACTGGTGGGTTTGGACTCAAGCCATGGTATTTTCAGTAGTCTCATATTCATGTGAAATCTTAACAATGAATAAGGAAGACCGAAGGAGAACTGATGCATTTGAATTATGGTGTAGGCAAAGAATACTGAATACACCATGGACTGCCAGAAGAATGAAGAAATCTGTCTCAGAAGAAGTACGGCCAGAATGCTCCTTAGAAGCAAGAATGGCCATATTTGGCTTTCATGCTTTGGACATGTTATCAGGAGGTATCAATGCCTGGAGATGGATATCATTCTTGGAATAGCAGAGGGTCAGCTAAAAGGGGAAGATCCTCAATGAGATGGATTGACACTGTGGCTGTAACAATGGGCTCAGGCATAGCAGCAAATGGGAAAATGATGCAGAACTGGGCAGTGTTTAATTCTGTTGCACATAGGGTCAGTAAGAGTTAAAACCAACTCTATAGCACCTAACAACAACAACACTCGGAAGGATGAACAAAACTGACAAGATACTTGTCCCCTGCAGTTGGAAATGTAGTTAGTAAGCCAGACAATATCTACACATATACACATTTTGAAATATACTGACAAAACAACTACTTCTTGGACTAAGAATAATAAAGAAGAGCCTAACTTAAATAGGAAGGTAAGAGTAATCTTCTCAGAGGAGGTAATATTTTAACTAAAAGTTGAAAAATGCACATAATTCAGCTATGCAAGATACAAAGAAATGAAAATTAAATTGTGTGAGGTCTTGATTAGCTAGAAGTACTGAAAGAAGTCTAGTGTGGGTGAAGTTGAGTGAGCAAGAGGGAGTCTAGCCTGGGCTGAGGTTGGGGAGGCAAATGGGTATGGAGCACTGTAGGCCATGGTAAGTGCAATGGGAAATCACTGAGAGCCTGATATGACTTCCTGTAAATACATTACTATTGAGATATTTCTGACTTATAGTCACCCTGGAAGACAGAGGGTTTCCAAGGCTATTAATCTTCATGGAAGCAGACTGCCACATCTTTCTCCTGAGGAGTGGCTAGTAGGTTCATACTGCCAAACTTTCAGTTGACATTCCAGCACTTATGGCCATGGTGCCACCAAGCCTTCTCTGATCTGACTTACACTTTCAAAATATCACTGTGAATGTGAGGAAAGTGGAATAAACTAGGGGGGAGTGGTAGGTGTAATGCTGACAGACCAGATAGCAACTTTTATAGGAAAAAATGGAGGCTTAAACTAGAGTAGTAAAAATAAAGATAAAGTGAATTGAGATTCTAGATACTTTTTAGAGATAAAAATAGAAGTAGTTGTTAACTGATAATTGATTGAAATAATTCCTGGGATTGTGGCTTCAGCACCGGATGGGGAGGGAATCGTGATTGTACCAGATCTTGGTCAGGGTTCTGAGGTGAATGTGAAAGTTATTCTTCTCAACCTGTGTTGAGGTGTTAACTGGATAATAATAATTCATTTGGCTTTTCATATTTGTAGGTTTTTTTTTTTTAATTACTATTTTAAGAAGTTAATATAACAATGTTTTTAGTAACAGGAAAAAATATAAATCATAAAATGAATTAGACTAGACAAAGAATTTCTAAAATAAAATCATACTGTAGGCAGATATTGGGAAGAGGAGAAATTTCATTTCGAAATAGGGATAAAGCCAAAAAAAAAAAAAAAAAACCCACTGTCACTGAGTTGATTCCAACTCATAGTGACCCCCACCGGGTTACCAAGGTGATGAATCTTTATGGAAATAGATTACCCCATCTCCCTTCTGTGTGGTAGCTGATGGGTTTTGAAATAGCAATACTTAATTTTGCAGTATTTAATAAAGATTAAAAAAGGTATCTTCTGTGAAGGTGCTCTGTAAACTTTTAAGCACTATACAGATATAACCTATTGGTATTAAAGCTTTGGTTTGAAGCATTATATTGATGTCCCCATATCTAAACTTTTGGGAAAAAGCATGTTTAAACAATTTTTTTCTGAAACAATTTATTCCCTTAGGACATCTCGGATGGTATAAACTCAGGTAAAATACCAATAACTCACACCTCCTCCTCCATCTCTATTCTACTAATATTTTATTTTATTTTTTAAATAAGAGGAAGACCTGGTGAGGTCAAAAACAATCCAGGCATACAGGAAATAGTTGCTTCAAAGAATTCTATACCCAATCTCAGCTCTGTGTGTGGCTGTGATAAGTTCAAAGTTAGAGAAATTTGAGGTAATAAGCAGGCAGCCTTGAAAGCAATTCTTCTGTTTCTGTGAATCCTGATATTTGGTCACAAAATTTTGCATAGATTTGTTAGCAAATCACCCTCATGATATCCATCCTGCTCACCTCCTGCATATGTGACTTTCACCCCCAATTCTCCCAGATTAAGGAGCTCTGGGGGCACAGTGCCTAAGGCATCTGACTGCTAACCAGAAGTTGGCGGTTCAAACCCACCAGGCACTCTTTGAAAGAAGGACTGAGCAATCCACTTCCATAAAGATTTGCCACCTCGGAAAACCAATGGTGGTTGCTATGAGTCAGATTCGATTCAATGGCAGTGGGTTTTTGGTTTCCGAGATTGTACTGTCTCCTCCCCTTGTGGTTAGAAAAGGGTAAGAACAGCTACCTAAAGAAGAAGGAAAAAAAATTATTTGAATCAGTAGTCTGGGTTTTGTTTAGAAAAGGCTACATGAGCCAACTGATGCCCACAGAATAGGCATCCTTGCTGTTACATTTATATAGGTGAAAAGGGGACTTCTATCCCTAGTCTTTCATGTGGCATACACTTTTGTGGTCAATATCTTATTTCTTGATTATTAAGAATTAATATCTTGAGGCTGACTTTAGAATTACTGAGTAGCAAAAACATATATTTACATTTTGTTCAGATTCATTTAACATAGAATAGATATGGAAAAATAAGCATAAAAACACATAATTTCAAATACAGGAAGGAAACTAATGTAAGAAAATAGGTGAATCTGGTAGACTAGTTGTAAGTATCAAATGGCACCAACATAAACTGTTTTAAATAACCATATTGTGCTAATACGAAGTATCAGTACTTACCTTTTCAAGAACTGGGGTAATCATTAAAGATGATCCCCAAAGAAATGCTTTGTCAATTCCATGAGTCTGAGGATCTGATGTAAATCTAGGTTTTTTAGGGTAGAAAACTATTAATTTAATAAAAATAATATTTTTGTATAAATAGCTAAACTCTTACTCAATCACTTGTTTCCATGCACTATGGTTCATGGTAATCAACACCAATAAGAGCAAAAAGACAGAAACAGAAAGGTTTAGGATATAAGCAGTGTTTTAGGAATAAAACTTTAATCATAAGGAAAGCAATTAGGATCAGTTGTCTTCCCTGACCAGAGAATCCAAACCAAACTCACTGCCATCGAGTTGATTCTGACTCATAGTGACCCCCACTGGGTTTCCAAGGGTATAAATCTTTATAGTAGAAAACTGCTTCAACTTCTGTGGAGCAGCTGGTGAGCTCGAACCACGAACCTTTTGGTTAGCAGCTAAATGTCTTAACCACTATACCACCAGAACTCCTTTTGATCTAAGAATTAATGAGCATTAAACCTAAGGTGAAAATAGAGGAATCAAGCTCTTTAAACTGCTTTTTATTGTTGTTGCTTTTTTCCTTTTTGCATCCCCAACAGACTTCAGGAGCTAGCACCAATCCCACCTTCTTCACAGAGCTGTCCCTATTTCATTTCCTATTAGCCTGACTTTTCTTTGCATTTTTGCAGCACTTTGTAGCCTATGCCACACAATCAGGACATATATAGAGAGAGAATGTTCTATACTCTGATTGTTTCAAATCTGCTACTTGTTTGTTAGCTTCCCAAATCACTGCTGGCAGGGACCGTGTTTCATCCTTTTTATATATTCCACACTGCTTAGATAGCTAAACACAGCTTTAATTTTATGTTAATTGGTTCTTTTAATTTGTTTGTAAATTATTTCTAATCACATTCAGATGTAAATACAAAACCTACTGATTATCCTATTTCTCCATCCTCCAAATATTTCCCTTCATAGAAAAAGCCAGGCTTCTAGGATCTATGTTGTATAAAACCTACTAAGAATACAACAATTATCAAATGTTATTTACTCATGCATCAGTCCTCGGACCACTGTACTTCCACTGATATGAGAGTGGTAGAAGAGGGTGTATAAGTAAGGCAGCAGTGTGTATCTAATTAATAACACAGAACGGGAAATCGTAGCAAACTCTTCTCCAAACACCCCGGGATCTTGTTCCTATTAAAGAGAAATATTTCAATATACTTATTATTTGAAGTGTGAATTTTTTTAAAGCATTAACTTTTTCTTTTGTTTGGGAGATTAGGGAGAAGCAGATAATTTTAGAATATTCCGTCTCTTTTTGAAAGCCTTTCACAGTGATGGATTATTGTAGAGAGGTAATCATTGGCAACCTTAGCAACTGGGAGCACAGAGTTGTTTGTAAATTAAATACATCCTATAAGTTTGCAAAAAGTAATAGGCGCAATCTATATGTTCAGTTTCAAATCATTTCTAGACAAAAGTTATTACTGTACTTTCTCCTTAAGATAGAGGCTGAAGACTGTCATTTGAGTGAGGAATAAAACTGGCACCTTGCTTGATTCTGCCTTGAGACTGAAGAATCTTGTACAAGATTATATCTGCTTACCATCAAAACAAAAACTTGGAATTTAGTAGATTACTGAACTACTAATTAAGGATAATTGCAAATATCATAGGTTGCCTGCTGTTACCTTATGTTATAAAGGAAGAGTTGTTGACAGATTATTTCAAGAGATGCAATATGCCCTTTTTTGGAGATTATAAACAAATCATTTTTCAAGAATAATTTTTAGAAAACTTATTTCTCCAACATTTATTTCTTATCATTCTCTTTTTGTGGTTTGGGTCAAAGTTTACAGAGCACATTAGTTTCCCATTCAACAATTTATATCTTGTCATTCTCTTGAGCTCTTGATAAATTAAAAACAAGTAAATTTTACATAGTTTTCTAACCTCAAGTTCAATTATAGGTTAATACTGAGTATAAAAAAAATATTGAGTTATAATTTTTAGTTGCTTTTTACTTACTTTGCTTCCGATTGAATTATGATTTCTAGAAAAGGGGTAAAATGCCCCAAGTTGCATCCAGCGCAGGCAAAGTTCATAATTTGTATCTTCATTAAACCCACATATATCAGCTCCAACCTGGGGAAAGATATTTTTCCTTGATGTATTACCAAAATAGATCTCATTTTCATGTTGTGAAATCTGAAAGTGTAAGTATGCACTTTGAGAAGATAATTGGAATACAACAGTGACACCTCCCTCTTGTTCAGTCTTGATTAAATGAAGACTGTGGGCTACATTGTGGTATAAACAAGGAGTTTTTTAGGTAAACTGACCTAAATGCTCATCTCCATGTGATGAATTAGAGTAAGACACAAAATATTCACAATGCAGTGAGCTAAACCAAGAGACTTGGTTACTGAATACTCAGGCTGGAACAAGGGGCAGCCTCAGAATGATTGCAGCCAACTGTGCTTTCCTTTCTATGGTAAATTACTGTTACGAATTAAATTGTATCCCCCCACAATTTGTGTTGGGATTTTAACCCTTTCATATATGGGTGCAATCTTGCTTGGATATAGGTTTTTCTTTACTATATTAATTACCATATATTTTGCAAATAATATGCCCACGTAAGCAATGTATCCACACATAGAACGCACGGCATAGCATGCTTATGAATGAAAATAGCTGGGTGAGGGGTGTTTGCAGTTGGCAAAAATAAAAACGTATAATCCTCACATTATTTGCATAAAAATATGGTAGATCATACCCAAGTAGGGCAAGTTCTAAATCTAATTACTTTTAAGTTACAGAGTGAACGTATTAGACACGGAGGCACACACATAGATGCCCTGTGAGGACTATCTACAGGGCAAGGAACCAAGGAATGGCCGGGGTTACTGGCATGGAATAAATTGACACAGCCCAGACCCTGATTTGGACTTTTAGCCTCCAGAACTGTGAAAAAATAAATTTCTGTTCTTTACAGCCACCCACTTGTGGTATCTGTTACAACAGTACTAGGTAACTAAGAGAGTTCCAGATATTTTGCCTCCTGACACGTAAGGAAGGCATCTCCCAGATCTCAAATTGTTTTATTCCAGAGCCTCTCTTGTTATCTCAGATATAAAATCTCTAACCCCAAAGGTCGGGTTAATTTCAAAGTTTGTTGGTCAAAAAGTCATGAAATAAAGCATGGAGTCATAAAACATGTCAATTGTTATAAAAGTGTTAGTTACTCAAACCATACTCTATTAGAATATAAGATTTTCAGTGGAGAAAGAGCAGCTAGGTCATGCTCTCTTCCTTTCTGAAGCTGCTTGTATTAAAAGTTTTGCCTCTGTCGGTTTCAGATCCAGATGCAATTTGAAGCTATTTTCCTTTTCAATGTTTAGTAATTCTTCTTTGAATGTAGTTAACCCATCACTTGAACAACAAATGTAACTGTCACCAACTTTACAGCTTCCAAAATAAGGCAAATATTGCTTTGTACTTTTTCTTTTAAAAAGTCATTGGGTGACAGATACATAGACCAATGGAATAGAATTGAGAACCCAGATATAGATCCATCGACCTATAGTCAGCTGATCTTTGACAAAGGCCCCAAATC